GCTAGACCTCCTGGTACTCACAGCTAGACCTCCTGGTACTCATAGCTAGATCTCCTGGTACTCATAGCTAGACCTCCTGGTACTCATAGCTAGACCTCCTGGTACTCACAGCTAGACCTCCTGGTACTCATAGCTAGACCTCCTGGTACTCACAGCTAGACCTCCTGGTACTCACAGCTAGACCTCCTGGTACTCACAGCTAGACCTCCTGGTACTCACAGCTAGACCTCCTGGTACTCACAGCTAGACCTCCTGGTACTCACAGCTAGACCTCCTGGTACTCACAGCTAGACCTCCTGGTACTCACAGCTAGACCTCCTGGTACTCACAGCTAGACCTCCTGGTACTCACAGCTAGACCTCCTGGTACTCACAGCTAGACCTCCTGGTACTCACAGCTAGACCTCCTGGTACTCACAGCTAGACCTCCTGGTACTCACAGCTAGACCTCCTGGTACTCACAGCTAGACCTCCTGGTACTCACAGCTAGACCTCCTGGTACTCACAGCTAGACCTCCTGGTACTCACAGCTAGACCTCCTGGTACTCACAGCTAGACCTCCTGGTACTCACAGCTAGACCTCCTGGTACTCATAGCTAGACCTCCTGGTACTCACAGCTAGACCTCCTGGTACTCATAGCTAGATCTCCTGGTACTCATAGCTAGACCTCCTGGTACTCATAGCTAGACCTCCTGGTACTCACAGCTAGACCTCCTGGTACTCATAGCTAGACCTCCTGGTACTCACAGCTAGACCTCCTGGTACTCACAGCTAGACCTCCTGGTACTCACAGCTAGACCTCCTGGTACTCACAGCTAGACCTCCTGGTACTCACAGCTAGACCTCCTGGTACTCACAGCTAGACCTCCTGGTACTCACAGCTAGACCTCCTGGTACTCACAGCTAGACCTCCTGGTACTCATAGCTAGACCTCCTGGTACTCACAGCTAGACCTCCTGGTACTCATAGCTAGACCTCCTGGTACTCACAGCTAGACCTCCTGGTACTCACAGCTAGACCTCCTGGTACTCACAGCTAGACCTCCTGGTACTCACAGCTAGACCTCCTGGTACTCACAGCTAGACCTCCTGGTACTCACAGCTAGACCTCCTGGTACTCACAGCTAGACCTCCTGGTACTCACAGCTAGACCTCCTGGTACTCACAGCTAGACCTCCTGGTACTCACAGCTAGACCTCCTGGTACTCACAGCTAGACCTCCTGGTACTCACAGCTAGACCTCCTGGTACTCACAGCTAGACCTCCTGGTACTCACAGCTAGACCTCCTGGTACTCACAGCTAGACCTCCTGGTACTCACAGCTAGACCTCCTGGTACTCATAGCTAGACCTCCTGGTACTCACAGCTAGACCTCCTGGTACTCACAGCTAGACCTCCTGGTACTCACAGCTAGACCTCCTGGTACTCACAGCTAGACCTCCTGGTACTCACAGCTAGACCTCCTGGTACTCACAGCTAGACCTCCTGGTACTCACAGCTAGACCTCCTGGTACTCACAGCTAGACCTCCTGGTACTCACAGCTAGACCTCCTGGTACTCACAGCTAGACCTCCTGGTACTCACAGCTAGACCTCCTGGTACTCACAGCTAGACCTCCTGGTACTCACAGCTAGACCTCCTGGTACTCACAGCTAGACCTCCTGGTACTCACAGCTAGACCTCCTGGTACTCACAGCTAGACCTCCTGGTACTCACAGCTAGACCTCCTGGTACTCACAGCTAGACCTCCTGGTACTCACAGCTAGACCTCCTGGTACTCACAGCTAGACCTCCTGGTACTCACAGCTAGACCTCCTGGTACTCACAGCTAGACCTCCTGGTACTCACAGCTAGACCTCCTGGTACTCACAGCTAGACCTCCTGGTACTCACAGCTAGACCTCCTGGTACTCACAGCTAGACCTCCTGGTACTCACAGCTAGACCTCCTGGTACTCATAGCTAGACCTCCTGGTACTCACAGCTAGACCTCCTGGTACTCATAGCTAGATCTCCTGGTACTCATAGCTAGACCTCCTGGTACTCACAGCTAGACCTCCTGGTACTCACAGCTAGACCTCCTGGTACTCACAGCTAGACCTCCTGGTACTCACAGCTAGACCTCCTGGTACTCATAGCTAGACCTCCTGGTACTCACAGCTAGACCTCCTGGTACTCATAGCTAGACCTCCTGGTACTCATAGCTAGACCTCCTGGTACTCACAGCTAGACCTCCTGGTACTCACAGCTAGACCTCCTGGTACTCACAGCTAGACCTCCTGGTACTCACAGCTAGACCTCCTGGTACTCATAGCTAGTCCTCCTGGTACTCATAGCTAGACCTCCTGGTACTCATAGCTAGACCTCCTGGTACTCAAAGCTAGACCTCCTGGTACTCACAGCTAGACCTCCTGGTACTCATAGCTAGACCTCCTGGTACTCACAGCTAGACCTCCTGGTACTCATAGCTAGACCTCCTGGTACTCACAGCTAGACCTCCTGGTACTCACAGCTAGACCTCCTGGTACTCACAGCTAGACCTCCTGGTACTCACAGCTAGACCTCCTGGTACTCACAGCTAGACCTCCTGGTACTCACAGCTAGACCTCCTGGTACTCACAGCTAGACCTCCTGGTACTCACAGCTAGACCTCCTGGTACTCACAGCTAGACCTCCTGGTACTCACAGCTAGACCTCCTGGTACTCACAGCTAGACCTCCTGGTACTCACAGCTAGACCTCCTGGTACTCACAGCTAGACCTCCTGGTACTCACAGCTAGACCTCCTGGTACTCACAGCTAGACCTCCTGGTACTCATAGCTAGACCTCCTGGTACTCACAGCTAGACCTCCTGGTACTCATAGCTAGATCTCCTGGTACTCATAGCTAGACCTCCTGGTACTCATAGCTAGACCTCCTGGTACTCACAGCTAGACCTCCTGGTACTCATAGCTAGACCTCCTGGTACTCACAGCTAGACCTCCTGGTACTCACAGCTAGACCTCCTGGTACTCACAGCTAGACCTCCTGGTACTCACAGCTAGACCTCCTGGTACTCACAGCTAGACCTCCTGGTACTCACAGCTAGACCTCCTGGTACTCACAGCTAGACCTCCTGGTACTCACAGCTAGACCTCCTGGTACTCACAGCTAGACCTCCTGGTACTCACAGCTAGACCTCCTGGTACTCACAGCTAGACCTCCTGGTACTCACAGCTAGACCTCCTGGTACTCACAGCTAGACCTCCTGGTACTCATAGCTAGACCTCCTGGTACTCATAGCTAGACCTCCTGGTACTCACAGCTAGACCTCCTGGTACTCACAGCTAGACCTCCTGGTACTCACAGCTAGACCTCCTGGTACTCACAGCTAGACCTCCTGGTACTCACAGCTAGACCTCCTGGTACTCACAGCTAGACCTCCTGGTACTCATAGCTAGACCTCCTGGTACTCACAGCTAGACCTCCTGGTACTCACAGCTAGACCTCCTGGTACTCACAGCTAGACCTCCTGGTACTCACAGCTAGACCTCCTGGTACTCACAGCTAGACCTCCTGGTACTCACAGCTAGACCTCCTGGTACTCACAGCTAGACCTCCTGGTACTCACAGCTAGACCTCCTGGTACTCACAGCTAGACCTCCTGGTACTCACAGCTAGACCTCCTGGTACTCACAGCTAGACCTCCTGGTACTCACAGCGAGACCTCCTGGTACTCACAGCTAGACCTCCTGGTACTCACAGCTAGACCTCCTGGTACTCACAGCTAGACCTCCTGGTACTCACAGCTAGACCTCCTGGTACTCACAGCTAGACCTCCTGGTACTCACAGCTAGACCTCCTGGTACTCACAGCTAGACCTCCTGGTACTCACAGCTAGACCTCCTGGTACTCACAGCTAGACCTCCTGGTACTCACAGCTAGACCTCCTGGTACTCACAGCTAGACCTCCTGGTACTCATAGCTAGACCTCCTGGTACTCACAGCTAGACCTCCTGGTACTCATAGCTAGACCTCCTGGTACTCACAGCTAGACCTCCTGGTACTCACAGCTAGACCTCCTGGTACTCACAGCTAGACCTCCTGGTACTCACAGCTAGACCTCCTGGTACTCACAGCTAGACCTCCTGGTACTCACAGCTAGACCTCCTGGTACTCACAGCTAGACCTCCTGGTACTCATAGCTAGACCTCCTGGTACTCACAGCTAGACCTCCTGGTACTCATAGCTAGACCTCCTGGTACTCATAGCTAGACCTCCTGGTACTCACAGCTAGACCTCCTGGTACTCACAGCTAGACCTCCTGGTACTCATAGCTAGACCTCCTGGTACTCACAGCTAGACCTCCTGGTACTCATAGCTAGACCTCCTGGTACTCACAGCTAGACCTCCTGGTACTCACAGCTAGACCTCCTGGTACTCACAGCTAGACCTCCTGGTACTCACAGCTAGACCTCCTGGTACTCACAGCTAGACCTCCTGGTACTCACAGCTAGACCTCCTGGTACTCACAGCTAGACCTCCTGGTACTCACAGCTAGACCTCCTGGTACTCACAGCTAGACCTCCTGGTACTCACAGCTAGACCTCCTGGTACTCATAGCTAGACCTCCTGGTACTCACAGCTAGACCTCCTGGTACTCATAGCTAGACCTCCTGGTACTCACAGCTAGACCTCCTGGTACTCACAGCTAGACCTCCTGGTACTCACAGCTAGACCTCCTGGTACTCACAGCTAGACCTCCTGGTTCCTCCACCGCACCCTATCCTGCCTCTTCCCCCACCGCACCCTGCGTGCTTAATTGCGCCAAGATATTTTTTTGTGGTTTGAGTGTCCTTCATGTCAGGTGTCATATCATATCAGATCATATCAGAGCATATCATGTCATATCGTATCATTCCTTCCCATCCAATCTCATCACATCCCATCCCATCCCATCCCATCGCATGCCATGCCAATGACAGGTGGGGGCGGATGGGGTGCGCTCCGTCGTGCGGAGCGCGATGGTGAGCAGCGCGGGGGGGTTCGCCATGGAGGCACTGCCGCGCTTTGGGGAGTGGGCCGTCGCCTCCATCCCTGCCCCCACCTCCCTTCCCCCCAACTCCATGATTCTTGTTCCAAGGGTAAGTGGTAACCATGTAACTGCATGCCTTGAAGGCGCTCCAGGATGTAACGAGGCACAGTGGTGGCGTGATAGGTGTGGGGTGGCTGCCACCCACTCATGGAGTCTCACAGACAGCATAGCACCAGCCGTTTGCAGAGATGCCACCCTGTGTTGTGTTGTGCTGCCTCCTTCCCCCGTCCCACGCCCTTGTCTACGCAAGAGAAGGGTGTGGGATATCAGTGGTGGGGGTCCCTGCTCAACCCGCGCCTCCCTTTTCTCCTCCTCACCCCACTGATGCAGGTTCCCCGCACTCCTGGCATATCGGTGGTGGGGCTCCCAGCACAGGGTGGTAAACTTTGTCTGTTGTGGGCATGGTCGGCCTTGGCACGGCCTGCTGAGTGGTTGGCGCTGAGAAGCAATGATGAGGAAAGGGAGGACCATGAGGTGGGAAGGACGCACGCAGGGAAGGAGGGGGAAAGCGTGGGTAGCAAGCAGGGTGTGACTGGTGCAACGGAGAATGCCGCGGCTGAAAGGAGAGCGGTTGGAGGCGGTGGAAATGCAGACAGAGTGGTTGAAGCAGATGGGGAAGGGGAGGAAGGGAGGGAGAGGGGAGAGAATAAGGTGGGGCAGGTGGAGCAGGAGGGCAGGAGAAGCAGGGCGAGGGCGTACATTGAAGAGAGAGTGCCGTGGCTGGGAATGACAGAGGAAGGGGCGGAGACACTGGTGAACCAGCAGCCACGCACAAGCATGAGAGTGAGACGCGTGGTGTGAGAGGCAATTGGCCCTTCTCTTTCTCTTCCCCGTTGCTCCGTTTTCCGCCCCTTGTTGCCGCCCCTCTCATCTCTGGGCCTCCCTTTTGAATCCCAAGCCCTCTCTGCCACCCCTTCCTGCTATTGAAGTCCAATCTTCCCTTCACCCCTCTCCCTTCACCCGTCTCCCTTCACCTCTTGTCCTCCACATATATCCCCTGCCTCTCTCCCTTCCCTCTCTCTCCCCGCCCCCATTCCCACTCCTCCCCACCCCATACCTGCCCCCCTCCCATCCTGACCCCTGCCCTCCCCCATTCCCGCACCACACCTTCCCGCAATCAGATCAAGTGCTGGCAGTATCACGACTCTGCCGCCCAAATCGCTCTAATCGGCGACTCAGCACATGCCACGTGTCCATCCCTGGGCCAGGGCTGCAACGCTGCCATCACCGATGCTACAGTGCTTGCCCGGCTGCTTCTGGGGGAGGTGGTATGTAGGGATACCCTGATTCCTCCATACACAAAGGAGACGACCTGGAAGCTGCTTCAGAGCGTTTGGGGCACAGAAGGAAATGAAGGGGTGGATTTAGAGCGAGAGGTGAAGTGCGGCACTAAGGAGTCTTGTGCTCTGAGCAGGTTGGCTGGGTCGTTCAGTCGTTTTGTCCAGAACTTATCAAGGCTGACAGGTTTGGGGGGCAGAGTGGCACCAGAGAGAAGAGCGGGCATGGGGGGAGAGGAGGGGAGGAGGGAGGCAGGCAGAGCAATGTGTGCAGCATCACCGCAGCACCTGCGCACACACCTTGCGGTGATGCTCGCTCGCTACTCTGCTCTTCAGGTGAGAGCCACGGCACTGTGCCCGCATAGCAGGAGGGGTGAAAGAATGCACTGACGGTGTCGGGTGCAGCATTGCTACTTGGCAAGGCACTAGCGTTTCCACCTACTGCTGCGCCCTTGATCCCACCCTCGTCCCCCACCCGCCATCCCCTTGTGTGCTTCAGGTGCCAGAAGGCCATGCCCTGGTTGACCTCTCAGATGCCGGTGCTCCCATCAGCAACCTATACTCTGTAAGTGAAACACGGCCATGTTGATCCATGTGAGCATGTTGATTCATGTGAGCATGTTGATTCATGTAAGCATGTTGATCCATGTGAGCATGTTGATTCATGTGAGCATGTTGATGCATGTGAGCATGTTGATGCATGTGAGGATGTTGCTCATCTACCATGGCATGCACACGTCCTGTTTCACTCATTTTGGACTGTCTTTCTAATGTGGAGCAGGCGCTGTCAGCGATTGACATGATTCTTCGTTCGATCCTCTCCAAGCTGCTGCCTGCATGGGTTGTGTCACCTCCCATCCAAGTCGTCTGCTCCAACACCACACTCTCCTATTCAACCATACTCGCTCGCTTCCATGGCTGGGTGACAACCATAACTAGTTCCAACACAAGTCTCAGACAGCAGTGGTATACAAGCCAGAGAAATAGCTTGCTCGACAGATCTTAATTTATTTATGCGCACTTCACAACACAACAGTCTATGAAACATGCAGGCATGACGGACACATGGCACAATTGCCCTGAAGAATGCTCAAGTGGACACAGCCGATCTGTCCCACACGAATTGGGTTCAGTTGAGGCCAATGTTGGGATCCGAAGCAATGGAAACGAGCAGCGGCTGTGCGGGATGCCATGCGGCCTTGAAGACGGTGAGGTTTGTTGAATAACGAGTTAACTAGGAGCTGGGGTTTTGGAGAGGCTTAGCAAGGAGAATCATGGAGGGAGAGGTTTGGCCAAAAGAAGGGCTTTGATATTAGGCGAGTACAAGATATAGGAGAAGGAAGAGAGAAGAAGAGGGTACACCACCAGCAGTTGATGCTAATAACTAAACTAATACACTAGCAAGCTATAGGCAGGTATAAGATATGCAATATCAATTAACACACCCCCGTAACTGCCTATGGCTATAGCTAGTGGTGTCTGGCACCAGGTCGCCTGGAGAGCAGTTGCTTGTAGCTGGGATATGCACAGAAACAGCGGTTGCTGCCTGGCAGCACCTGTGAACGCCAGAACGGAGGAGGGCGCGGAGAGCGCGGAGGAGGGCTGGGATAGACGGAGGGCGAAGGATGCTGGTCGCTCGCCATCTACGAGCTAACACAACTGTTGGTGAGGAGGAGGAAGCTGCTGGTGGTGCACAGGAGGAGAGCAGAGGAGAGGCGGCTGGAGGAGAGGAGAGGAGGAGGAGATGCGGCTGGAGGAGAGGAGAGGAGGAGGAGAAGCGGCTGGAGGAGAGGAGAGGAGGAGGAGATGCGGCTGGAGGAGAGGAGAGGAGGAGGAGATGCGGCTGGAGGAGAGGAGAGGAGGAGATGCGGCTGGAGGAGAGGAGAGAAGAGAGGAGAGGAGAGGAGAGAAGGGGCGGCTGGAGCAGAGGAGAGAGGAGAGGAGAGGAGAGGAGGCGGCTGGCGCGGCAAAAGCTCTCCCGCCACCCCCTCACCCTCCCCTGTCAGAATGAAGAGGCAGGAATGATTGACTAGGAAGCAAGGATGAGTACAAGTAGGGCAATGTCTAACCCTAAAGTGTTGTACTCAGTAGAGGCTACCCCACTACAGCCTACAACATAGAAACATAGTTTGACACACCCCCATAGGCAAAGTGGGGGATAGCAAGAACAACCAAAGGTCACAAGACCGGTCAAGCAAGAGAACAAAGCAAAGCAAAGCTCAAGGTGGATCTCAAGATCACCACGCATTCTGAGCACAAGCAAGCGGCCACAAGGCCAGTTCACATGCAGGGGTATATATGCAACACAAACAGCACAGTGATCTCTACCTAGAAAAGCAAGCATGCAGGTATATATATATATATCACAGTACAGGCAAAGCCTACAGCAAGTGAGGAAAAGTGGGCACAAGCCCTAGCACGGTGCAGAAACGCTGATGATCACTAGACTGAAGTGCCTTGGTGAATATATCAGCAGTGTTGGCCCGAGTGGCCACGTAACGCAGACGAAGCTGACCACGCTGCTGCAACTCTCGAGCCAGGAAGTAACGCAGAGCGATGTGCTTTGTTCTGTGCTCCAGTCTGTGCTCCTTACACAAGGCAATGGCTGCCTTGTTGTCGACGTACAGCACTGGAGGAGAACGAGGCCGCTCTCCCAAGTCGGTCAGCAGGTAGGTGAGCCAGCGTAACTCCTGTGCAGCCATGGCTGTGGCGTAGATCTCAGCCTCACAACTGGAGCTGAGAACTGAAGACGAGCGTGTAGAACGCCACGAAACCGAACCAGAGCCAAGGCTGAAGGTGTAACCCTGTGACGACCGCTGCGTAGCCTGGTCGTCAACCCAAGAAGCGTCTGAGTGCCCAGTGAGGACAACGTCGCTCCGTCCTCCAAGCACGAGCCCCATGCCCGATGTACTGCACAAGTAGCATAGTACCCTCTTAGCAGCATCCATGTGCACCTTTCGGTGCCGACCAGGAGCCACGTAGCGAGCCAGAAGGCCAAGAGGGTACGCAAGGTCAGGACGAGTGCAGGTCATCAGGTACATGAGGCAGCCCACTAGCTCTGGGTAAGGACCACTCGGCTCTACGGACTCGTCCGAAGGTGGAGCTGAGAGCGAGTGACCTGTAGCCAGAGGAGTGTGCTGTGCCGAGGACCAGGTGAAGCCGAAGCGCTGAAGGACCTGCTGCACCATGTGTGACTGAGTCAGTGTGATGGTGCGGCGTGCTCTGTCCCGGGTGATCCGCAAGCCAAGATAGCTTGTCAGCTCACCCAGGTCTGTGCACGTGTGTCTCTTCTGCAGCTCCGACTTCACCAGGGCGAGAGCCTCAGTGTCAGCAGTGGCAAAGACCAAGTCGTCGACGTACACAAGGATGTAGAACGGCGGCAGCGAAGTGTCGGTGCGCAGAAACAGCGACGGGTCAGCAGTCGACGGAGCAAACCCAAGAGCCGCAAGTGTCGTCCTCAGTGTGTCGTGCCACTCACGTGGCGCCTGGCGGAGACCGTAGACCGGCCGCCTGAGGCTCCACTGGGTACCAGGAGGGAACGACCCAGTGAAGCCAGGTGGGCGGCGCAGCCAGATCTCCTCGTGCAGGCTACCCTGTAAGAAGGCTGTGCTGAAGTCAAGAGAGTGAAGCTCGTAGTCACGCTGAGCGGCAACGTGCAGCAGCACCCGAAGAGTGGTCATCTTCGGGGTGGGGGAGAAGGTCTGGAAGAAGTCTACTCCCTCTCGCTGACTGAAACCTCGTGCAACGTAACGCGCCTTGAAGGCAGGCGGAGAACCTAGCGGCCGCTTCACCCTGAAAATCCACATGCCACTGACGATGTTCGCCCCAGGTGGGGGAACCTCGTCGACGTAGGTGCCTGTGGACTTCCAGGATGCCATCTCTGCGTCCATGGCTGTCTGCCACTGAGAGGAGTACTCACCCGCGATCGCCTCAGCGTAAGAGCGCGGGGTCGGGATGTCTGGAGCATCCGGGTCTCCCTCAGGGGCAAGCAGCATGGACACGAGATGAGGCGCAGCGGCTGCAAGACACTCAAGGTCCTCCTGCCTGTCCTCAAGGACGTCCGTGCCAAGGGCACACTCACCCCCGACGGACGTAGGACAGACAGACTCAGACTCAGCAACAAGACTAGCGGCGTAGTCTAGACGACAGGCAGCAGCAAAGTCAACAAGCTCAGCAACTAAGGCATACGTAGCAGCAGACTCAAACGACGGGTCAGTGACAACAGTGGCTAGCAGACGCGTGACAGTAGGGTGCTCAGCACGAAACCGGTCAGACTCGGGGTCCGCAACGACAGGCAGAGAAGACGCAGGAGGGGACGGCAGAGGAAAACGCTGTGGAGGAGAGGAAGGACGACGGACTACTAGGTGGGTGTCGGGGACAGCCGGCAGACGCGGACGAGGAACACGACGACCGGAACGACTAGAACAGACAGGCGAGACAGGACGCGACGCAGGCTCACCACGCTCAGTAAGACTCCCTAGCTGCTCAGTGTAAGGAGAAGGAGCAGGCAGCGGTGAACCAGGCTGCAACGGAAGACCAGTAGACGAAGGGAGACTAAGAACCTGGCGAAGCACAGAGTCAGGCGGTGGCTGAGACGACGGAGACGGTGGAGCGAAGAACAGGCGCGGCTGTGCAGTGACACCAGCACCAGCAGCTCCAGTACCCCCAGCAGCTCCAGCACCTCCAGCAGCTCCAGAACCTCCAGCGCCAGCACCCTCAGCAGCTCCAGAACCTCCAGCTCCAGCGCCACCAGCGCCAGTACCTCCAGCAGCTACAGAACCTCCAGCGCCAGCACCCTCAGCAGCTCCAGAACCTCCAGCTCCAGGGCTACCTGCGCCAGCACCTCCAGCAGCTCCAGAACCCTCAGCGCCAGCTCCTCCAGGACCAGCTCCACCAACAGCAGCACCCCCAGAACCGACACCTCCAGTCCCAGGGTCTCCAGCCACAGCACCCTCAGACTCAGCACCTCCAGCCCCAGAGCTCCAGTACCTCCAGTACGAGCACCTCCGGGACCAGCACCACTCCCAGCTCCAGTGACGACAGCAGAAGTACCTCCAGCGGCAGAGCCCCGAGCTCCAGAAGCTCGACCCTGACGGCGACCGTACCAGTCGTGCAGCTGCTGCGAGGTGAGAGGCACACGCGGACGAAGGCGGCTACTCCAAGGAAGCCACGCAACAGCAGACTCAGAACCCTCAGCGCCAGCACCCTCAGCAGCTCCAGAACCTCCAGCTCCAGCGCCACCAGCGCCAGTACCTCCAGCAGCTCCCGAACCTCCAGCGCCAGCACCTCCAGCAGCTCCAGAACCTCCAGCGCCAGCGCCACCAGCTCCAGCACCCTCAGCAGCTCCAGACCCTCGAGTAGAAACAACGCCAGTGGCAGAGTCACCAGCTCCAGCGCCTCCCGCACCAGGGCCCCTAGCTCCAGCAGCGCGACCCTGACGGCCAGCGTACCACTCAAACAGCTGCTGTGGGGAGAGAGGGAGACGACGACGAGAGTGCAGCGGCGAGGCACCAGCAGAGCGACTACGGAGACGGCCGCTCCCGGGAGACTGCTCCCCAGACTCCTCAGCGCCCCCAGGCTCAGCACCCCCAGACTCCTCACACCCAGGCTCAGCACCTCCAGTCTCCGCACCCCCAGGCTCCGCACCCCCAGGCTCTGCACCCCCAGGCTCAGCACTTCCAGGCTCCGCACCCCCAGGCTCAGCACCCCCAGCAGCAGCACCACCCTCAGCAGCACCTGAGTCACCAGTGACCTCAACCTGAGGGGGAGGGTCTACCTGAGACACACCTGAAGGAGCAGGACCGGGAGCGGGGAGGGGGTCTACCTGGGGAGCACCTGGAGCGAGGAAGAGCGGCGGGGGGGGGAGAGGGGCAGTGCGGTAGGGGAAGAGACGGTAAAAGGGAACCGACTCGTCGAACGTGACGTCCTGAGAGGGGAAGACACGGCGCGAGGTGGGGTGGTAAAACTGCCAACCAGGCGCGTCAGGGACAAAGCCAAGGAAGACACAGGGAACAGCGCGGGCGGAGAGCTTGTCCGCGGTGGTATCGCGGACAAAGGCACGAGCACCCCAGACCCGGAAACGCGACGCATCGCCAACCTTCCCCGTCCACAGCAGTGTGGGCGAGGTCTCCGGCAAGGAGACACGGGGCCAGAGGTTGAGCTGATGCGCGGCGTACCGGACCGCAAACGGCCACAGAAAATGGGGGGCAGCCGCATGGATCATGGAGGTACGAGCGACCTCCATGACTAAGCCAATGCGGCGCTCAGCAACCCCATTCTGCTGCGGAGAGGCCGGAAGCGTGAACGACTGGCGGATGCCGTGCTCCGCACAGAAGGCTGCCAAGAGGTCTGAGGAGAACTCACCACCTCTGTCAGAGTGCAGACGCAGGACAGGAAAGTCCGACTGGAACCGCTCGCGGAGCTGGAGACGAGTAGCGCGGATCCAGGGGATCAAAACATCAGGGACCTCCCCCTTGGTGCGCAAGGGGAAGACCGTGGTGTAACGCGTGTAGTCGTCGACGACCAGCAGGAAGTACCGCTCGTGGCCCTGTCCACGGACGCGGGCTGGGCCCCACACGTCCAGGTGGAGAGTCTGCAAGGGAGCCTCTGTGGGAGGGAACGAGGAGGAGTGAGGAGCGGCGCGCTGCCGCCCCTCGACACAGGGAAGACAGGGAGGAGCAGGCGAGGGCGGTAGAGGAGGCAGAGTCTCTAGAAGTCCAGAGACAAGGAAACGGCGGTGCATGCTACGAAGGCGCTGCACCGAGGGGTGACCAAGGCGGTGGTGCCACAGGACGGTCTGGTGCGACAAAGCGCGACACGAACAGGGGGGCGCTAGCTGACCTGACGCAAACGCAGACGCAGACGCAGCTACCTGAGGGGACACAGTGGTCAGTGTGTACAGACTCGAGCCAGGCTCTCGAGTGAACGTGGCCAGGTGCCGACCAGTCCGGGAGCACGTACAGTGGGTCACACGCTGACCTCCAGGGGTGAACTGGTCAACCCACACATCCTGTAGGTCAGCTCCACTCACCAAGTTCGTAGAGAACGAGGGGAGGTGAAGACCTGACAGGGAGCCAGACGGGACCGCCGGACGCGGCAGGACTGTGGAGGAGTGCGCAAGGACTGGACCCCCAGAGGGGTCTGCCAGTGAGACTGCAACTGGCCGACGGAGCGGCGTGAGTGTGGTGCTGTCGCGAAAGAAGGAGCGGGAAGCACCTGAGTCAAGTGTGAAGGTGTACACGGCCTCAGTAGGCGCAGTACCAGAGAGAGCAGACTCACCAGCACCTGGAGCAGCAGTCTCACCAGTACCTAGAGTAGGAGACGCACGAGCACCTAGAGCAGCAGCCTCACCAGCACCTAGCGCAGGAGACGCACTAGCACCTAGAGCAGCAGCCTCTAGACCTGGGTCAGGCGGTACGCACAGGGAACAAGCACGGTCATCACTAGTAGGCAATGCATACATGGCAGTGAGAATAGCATCATAGTCAAGAGCAAAGATATCTACCCCCTGCCCAAGCAGCTCCAGCCAGGCGGGGACCTCAGCCTCGTCACCAAACTCTGTGCGCCAGGCGTCGCTCAGACGGGCGAAGCAGCGGGACTGGGTGTGACCAAGTGTCCCGCAAGCCTGACCAGACCGATCACCTGTGCGTGGGACGTACGGGCAGCGAACGGTACTCCGAGACCCTCGACTCTGAGCGTACCACTCGTGAAGCTGCCGGGACGTAAGTGTCTCGCGCGGACGCCGCTGGAGCTGCAGCTGGCCACTGCCAGACGCTCCCGACCGACTAGCTCCAGGGCGACAGTCACGACGGCTACCGCCACAACCCCAACTAGCGTACCACTCACTCAGCTGCTGGGGCGTGAGGGACTCACGCGGACGTCGCTGGAGCTGCATCTGGCCTCCGCCAGTAGCAGCAGGAGCAGTAGTAGCAGCAGTAGCAGCAGTAACAGCCATAGTACGTGCAGGGCAGGCGCGACAGGCAGGCAGGCAGGCAGGCAGGCAGGCCGGCAGGCAGGCAGGCAGGCCGGCAGGCAGGCAGGCAGGCCGGCAGACAGGCAGGCAGGCAGGCGGCGCGGCAGCGCGCTAGCAAGGCAGGGGCTCACCAGTGGCGGGAAGAGCAGGCTCTCACCGGGCGAGCAGGGCCGGTGCTCGGCGGACGGCGGCAGGGTCGGCGCACGACGGCGGCGACAGCGGGGCCGCAGCAGCGGCTATAGTGAAGGGCCGGGTCGAGTCAGCGGCAGGGCGGGGCCGTGTCGGCGGCAGGGCGGGGCCGGGTCGTGTCAGCGGCGGGGCCGGGTCGTGTCAGCGGCAGGGTGGGGCCATGTCGGCGGCAGGGCGAGGCCGTGGCGGCGGTAGGGTGGCGCGCGCCGCTGCCTGGGGCCGCGCACTGGCGGGTAGAGCGCGGCGCGGGCTGCGCGGACGGCGCGCAGCGCGCTGCGGGCCGCGGACGCGCCGCGCGGGCTTTGGGCGGTCTGCGCGGGGCATCGGCGGGCCGCGCGCGCGCTGCGCGGGCTCGGTGCGGGCCGCGCGGGGCAGGTGTGGGCCGCGCGCGCGTCGCGCGAGCTCGGGGCGGGCTGCGCGGGGTAGCTGCGGGCCGCGCGCGCGCTGCGCGGGCTCGACGCGGGCTGCGCGGGCCGTGCGCGGGACGCGACGCGGCTGCCGAGGCGCGATTCGGGCAGGAGAGGGCGACCCGCGGGGGTAAAAACGAGACAGCGCTTGAAAATTAGGTCTGCGCGCGAAGCAGCAGCAGACAGCTCAGATAGTAGACAGTAGGCAGCAGGCAGACGGCGCGCGCAGCGCAGCACGTCACAGGCACAGTCAGTCACAGTCACAGTCGTGGGGTAGCGGTAGGTGGGCCCTAAAAAAAAAACGGTCCTACGGACCTACTGCTCTGAAACCATGTCAGAATGAAGAGGCAGGAATGATTGACTAGGAAGCAAGGATGAGTACAAGTAGGGCAATGTCTAACCCTAAAGTGTTGTACTCAGTAGAGGCTACCCCACTACAGCCTACAACATAGAAACATAGTTTGACATCCCCCCCCCCCCCCCCCCCCCCCACAGCGACAGGCGCTGCAGGGAGAGAGCAAGGAGCTGGTCACCCCTTCATCCCCCTCCCCCCCATGCGCTGGCGCTGGTGGAAGTGCTGGCGTCGCGCTGGCGCTGGCGCCCGCGGTTGGCGCTGGCGCCCGCCATCGGCGCTGGCGTCCGCGCTGGCGCTGGCGACCGCCGTTGGCGCTGGCGTCCGCCGTTGGCGCTGGCGCTGGCGTCTGCGCTGGCGCTGGCGCCCGCCGTTGGCGCTGGCGCTGGCGCCCGCCGTTGGCTCGCTGGCACGCTCGCCACGGGCAGAGCGCGACGGGGTGACGGGACGGGATGGGGCAGCCAGCACGCGGCGTGCTAACGGGCTGCGCGAGTGGTGGGCCCATATTTTTTAGGTCCTAGGACATTACCTGCTCTAATGCCATGTTGAATAACGAGTTAACTAGGAGCTGGGGTTTTGGAGAGGCTTAGCAAGGAGAATCATGGAGGGAGAGGTTTGGCCAAAAGAAGGGCTTTGATATTAGGCAAGAGTACAAGATATAGGAGAAGGAAGAGAGAAGAAGAGGGTACACCACCAGCAGTTGATGCTAATAACTAAACTAATACACTAGCAAGCTATAGGCAGGTATAAGATATGCAATATCAATCAACAAGGTTAGCATGCCCACCCAGCGTACGGCAAAGATGTGCACCTTGGGGTCCGCTCACCCCACGGTCGCCTGCTGCCCTCTGGGCGCCCAGCATGAGGAGATGCCGACTGCTAGGCAAAATGGGTTGGCATCTGCACGCTATCCAACCAAGTCAAGATGATAATGTTTACCGTATGTTCATTGAAGTCCAACAGAATAAGTGTACAGAAAGAGTTATGAAACTTGATCTGGTAAGGGGTTGTGCTTTATGTAGAGGGAGGGCGATAAGGCAACAATCGAGTACACAGAATGTGCAGTGACATCATAATGCATGTACCCAGAGTACAGCAAAGAAGCATTTTATTCACCTGTTACCGCACCACTTGGTGAAGCACGCTATATCCCTCCTGGTGGCAGACACATTCCTAAGAGCCCGTAGAGCCTTGCTAGCGATAGCTTACGGCTGGAGAGGTATTTCCCTCGCCCGTCACAACCTTCCGACGTAGTCTCGCCAGCGCATAACCGCAAATCAGTTCCCGCCTGCACTCATCCGCGCGTCTGCGCTGCTTGCTCCGGCCGGACCAGCGCACGCGGGCCATCCGCCTCTTCCCCCATCTTCCCGTGAACCGTGCGACATTCTTCCCCAAACCATATCCGCGGCATGGCGTCCGATAAAAAAGGTACCGCGGCGCGCTGCCCTCTTACGATGTTGTGCGCGGCGTGGATCTGAGCTCCGCGCGCGGCGTAGCAAGGCAGTGCGGTAGAATTCCGTCCGCAGCTTTCCGCCGTTAGCCTCCAACCCGTTCGTCATGCGCGCTCGTGAGCGAGCACATTGTTCCTCGAATCACGTCCTCTGCTCTATCCCACCCGTCATACCCACTCCCGCCATGCCCCCCGCCATACACAATCCCGCCCATTTACCCCCGCCATACCCACTCCCGCCCATTCCCCCCCGCCGCCGTGCGCATGCCCCCCATCCGCCAATCTCACTCAACTGTATCTCCGCTTCAATCTCCACGCCTCCCCCATTGTCCGCCTTCTCCATCTCTTCATCCACTCCTTTCTGCCGCTGATTGCACCCGTCCGTTTTCATCCCTCTCTCCTGTCCCCCCTGCGTTCTTCACCTCGCCACACCACACCATTCTCGCGTCTCTCTCCCTTCTGCTACCTCTCGAATGTGCCCTCGCCTTACGTCGTCTCCGTTCCGTGTTTTTCCCCTCCCAATCTCACGCGCACCTCGCAGGCGGCACCGGTTGGTTTGGGGATATGGTCTCGACAATAAGTGACTTTGGCAAGCAGACAACAGACATGGCTTCTAACCTCTACACTCATAGTATGCCCGCGTGACTTGATTTTTGAAGCTTCAGTTGTAGTTCGATACGTCACAAGGGAATAAGCGATTTCGAGCACGTATGCGATGCATGTTGCCATGGCACGCATACCGTATGCATTTTTGGTGCGAATTTAACTTGCACACTGTTACATGCTTCCTGACGTGCTCCCTCTCACATACATCTCATTTTCCTAATGTAACCTCCCTTCCTCCGCCGGCAGTGGGCAAGCTGGGCAACCCCACCCTCCTGACGCACGCAGGAGCGGAGGCGCTGTGGCGGGAGCACTTTTGGGCACCACCGGACGAGAAGCTGCTGTTCTACTTCTACTGCAACCTGCTCACCAGCGTGGGGCCCGTTCCTGGCACACTAGTCGTCACCACTGCGTCCATTGGCTTCCTCTCGGACGCCGAGTTTGAGTACAATCCGCTGGGGCGCCCCACAGAGATTGCCAGGAGCCACTTTGTGGTGAGCCAGTTTGCTTGTTTGTATCAATGCCTCAGATTTGATAGAACACATTCCAACCCTCTCCTCCATCCCCCTCCTTCCCAACTCCTTTCCACCCCACCTGTACAATTGTCTCTCTTAGGCCACCATTCCGTTGCACAAGATAACAGGAGTGGCACCTGAAGCCAACCCATCTGATGACAATGAGAAGTACATTCGGCTCACCACAGAAGACGACTTCTCATTCTGGTTCACTGGCTTCATCGCATATGATCAAGCCTTTGCTACTGTCCTTTCCGCCGTGGTCAGTACTTCTCATCCTCTTGAAGCTCTGTCATAGAGCAGGGATGTGGCACAATGTCCATATTGCATATACCATAACTTCCAACAGCTTGTCAGTTGGTGCACACTAGCCATGTGAAAAACTGGCATAGCATAGCAATGTTTCCATGTACCATATTTGCCACATGACCCGATTCTAGTCCTGGTACCTGTACGTTTTTGTTGGCACTGTTCATAACTACATGTACGGTATTTGCCAGGGAAAAGAAGAAGAAAAAAAACCACCACCACTGGACATGATACGGTAATGTTTGACACATTGGGATTATAAAACTGTGCAAGACCTCCACTAGCTGTGCAAGACTGACAGCTCCTCAGTTATGCAGGTGCCTGCACTTGCAGATTGCCACTGCCAAACTTAGCTGTCCACTCTTCATAAGCTTTCAACTCACTGTTAGCCACAGAAGGGTTGACCCTTTGTAATGCATCTCGAAAGTCCTGGAAGAGCAACCGTCACGCATTAAACCGCTTCCTCCAAGGCCCAAACAAGACGTAACTTAGACAAGACCTCACCTTAAGACCAACAGGTCTGATATCATCCTTTTCCATCTTGTCTATCCGACCAGAGAGAGCAGCCTCCCTCAACGGCATCATGGCTGCTTCTCGAACAAGGTGCCGCATGTCTGACCCTGAGTATCCTGCACAAGACATTTCCGAATCGTATCTAGACTTTAAATGACAGGTTAAAAGATGCAATGGCGTCCATATCTGACAAACCTTCCGCTTCTTCAGCAATGGCGTCCATGTCTGCCTCCGACAGTGCCAGAATGTCGTCCTTTTGAAGAAGGTTCCGAACAATATCTTTTCTTGCAACTGCGCAGTGTAGGAGAAGAAAGCAACATCAATAAGACATTGAAAAAAAAACCTGTGCCAACCAAACCGCCATTGCTAACCTTTGTTTGGAAGAGGTATGTAGAGCCGGTTGGGCATACGCCGCCTTGCTGCTTCATCGAGTTCTTGCGGACGATTTGTTGCTCCTGCATTGGAACGATTCAGAAAACCAGTGAGAATAAGAAACACTCAATAAGCAGGAACAAGCCATCACTACAATACCAATGGCAGCACGACACTTCACAATGACGCATTTATAAAATGCTGAAGTTCGAAAAGGATCAATGGGAACAAGGCTGTGGAGGAAGAGAAACTACAAGAATAGGAAAGAACGAGAGAGAGGGGGAGCGAAGGTGAAGAATTGAGAGGAAAAGATGATGGAGAATAGGGAGGAAAAATAGAATAACAAGGGGCAACGGGTCCCACTACTAACCAATAACTAGAACGTGTCGATCTCCTGTCCCACATCCCTCCATTTCAATGAGAAATTGGGTCTTCAGCCGGCGGCTGGACTCATGCTCGCCTTCTGATTGACGCTGGCCACAAGGGAAGACACAAAAACAAACATGGGAGTCTTGACTATAAGTTCCACAGCTCCAGATGAATATTGGCAACAGGTAGAAAATATCCTTACCTGTGATAAAAGAGAATCGATTTCATCAATGAAAATGACAGCAGGCTCCTTGCAGCTCGCCACACCAAAAAGAGCTCGCACAAGCTTCTCACCCTCACCAATCTGTCACATGAGGGAGACACAATTCGCATAAGCCATGTCATACACCAGCCTCTCTTTTCTCAGGCGAATTTGCTGCAGGCAAGGAGTCTTTTTCTCAGGCGAACATGCAGGCAAGGAGCCCTTTTCTCAAGCGAATATGCAGACAGGGAGCCTTACTTACCCATTTACTTGTCAAGGAACTGGCAGATATCGAGAAAAATGTTGCATTTGTTTCACCAGCAATAGCCTTACCAATCAAGGTCTTGCCTGTTCCCTGCAAAGTTGAGAAATACGTCAAGACTTGTCAGGTTCAATAAGTGTGTGTATTACCCCACTGCCGTGTGTTCAATGTCTGAGCTACTCACCGGTGGTCCATACAGCAAAAGCCCAGAAACTGGTGCTCTGGTGCCTCGAAATAAGTCAGGTCGCTTCAGTGGCCATATTATAACTTCAGTCACGCACTGCTTTGCATGCTCCAAACCGGCTGCAGTCCACGGAAAAATAACACTGTTAGCGCACAATGTAGTCAATTAAATTAAACAGCACTGTCACTCACCAATATCACTCCATCGCGTCTTTGTATCTTGTGTCATGATTTCATTGCAAATCTGCTCTATCAGGCGAGGTTCAATGTTCTTAAGCACATCAGGCAATTGCCCGTCCTCGTCCTGTAGCTCTTCCAAACTGCACAACCCGAGCATCAGAGTAAGACCATTGAAGCATGATTGCAACGACAAAAACAAAATCTGACCATTTTAAGGTTGACTCGTTCATCCCCGGATCCTTGGGCGCTGCTTGACGTGGCAAAGTGCCGCCATTTGCTTGTTGTGATGTCCGAACAGGAGAAACAAAGCCGCTACGAACTCCTCTCTTCGACCCTGCGGGATCATGTACACCATGCTGCCTGGGCGGTGCCTTTGAAGACCTGGCTGACACATTGTCGATACCTTTCTTTAAGGAGCTCATGGCCTGTTTGAGAGGAAAACGGTGGTGTTACAAGAGCAATACACGTTGCCACAGAAGCAAATGATTGAAGTTACGCATACCAGCTTCTCGCTTGCTGTAAGAAACGATGACTTGGACCTTGGTTCAACATCTTCAACATCATCATCCGCCAGCAAGCGGGTTTGCTTGTAACGTTTATTGGCCCGCTGTGGCTTCTTCCAGGAAACATCTTCGTCCGAATCTTCTGAAACGTCGTCATCTAACAAAATAGGCCGTTGCTGATTACGTTCCTGCTGGTAGGATGGTCGCCTTGGAAGTGGAGGCAATGAGCTTTTCGGTTGAGCGCTAAGATTTGATGCATAGCTATTGCGAGTCTTTGCTGAAGGCGGTGCATTCATTGCAGAGGTAAGCTTATCTCGCGGCGTTGCTTCAGTCTGTCCAGAGGAGGCTACAAACGGCAGCTGCTGGACACCAGCAACTGGAACAGCACCTCCTGAAATGGCAATACGCGCATTGTTGCTTGGCTCCTGAAGTGAACAGTAACGAAAAGATGTAAGAAGTTATAAGTAGCGAGCGAGCAAGAATCATATTGATGAGTAAAAAGAAAACACAGACCTCGTCATCCTCCCACACAAGCTCATCGTACGGCGAAAGTCTTGTCAGCTTGCTCAGAGAAATGCCGCGCGATGGCTCGTTCAAACTGATTTTAAGATCAGCTTGGCCAGCTTGAAGCAGAATATCGCTGCACATGTAACTTTCATGAGTTTGCCTCAAACTCAGAAAGGAAGGTTATGCTATGTCTATTAACGAAAGAACAGCCGACCTGTCGTCTGAAGATCGGCAAGAGGACAAATGCTGATGCACGTCCGATCGAATGCCACTGAAGTGAGATGCGCTTGACAAAACGCCATCGAAGGCACGCACAGAACCCAAGAGTTCAAGGCATCGGCTGCGGGGGCACTGCAATTCTGACGCGTCACCAGAAGACCGCAGCTCGGAAAGAAGGGAACATAGTCTTGAGAGGCTTGAGCGCAAAGGAGCTTCACTTGCCATGGCCGCGAATGGCGAAGTGGTGTACTTCTGGTGGTCTCAACAATGTCCACTGACGCTGCTTAGGCGGCTCATAAAACAGGCTTCAAAGATACGCACCAGCAAAGTGGAGGCATGATGGATGTGGATTGAGGGACGGGTTGATATAATTCAAATGGCTACACCATATTCTTGGAGTTGGTAATTTCCATATCATCCTGTAACACCTTTTGTTGCGAAACTCGATATGTTTCGCTGATTCTGACGGTTGCCTCCATCTTGTGGTGGTCGTCATGAAGCTCCTCGTCTCTTTTTCCCTCTCCTCAAAGGCTCCTCACTTCCTCTTCCCCTTTCCTTTTCCCAGTTTGTCCTGAGGGGTTTCTCTAGGGCTCTTGATTGGCTGCAGGCAGCCTACTAGGAAGCCATGGTCCACGTCGCCTTCTATCGCAACTGTGAGTGATAGAACTCTGGCATGGTTAACTTTAGATTTTCGTTAACGGCTTGGATCTGGTGTTACGATAGTGCGAACTGCGGCGCGAACACATAGTTTAACAACATACCCTAATTCTTGACAGCTCTTGTTATTTTCGGAGATGATTTTCAATCGGGTAGCGATTTTCGCAATAGTGGCCTGCTACTAATGGGCGTAGTCATATTTGTCTGCATGGCGTGGAACGGCGTCTCCTACGAATATAGTCTTACTCCACCCTTATCAGAAAACCAGGATTAGGTGAACCAGACCTGATGGTTGCGGTAATGCTGGACTGAACCCGACCGACTGTCATTTTTTGGTCGAGCAGTGCTTGACCCGATTGTCTTCGTTTGTTTCTGCAGATGGCAAGACCTTTAAGAGGCCTCGTCGTCCGTTCGAGAAGGAACGGCTCGACGCGGAGCTGAAGCTGCTCGGAGAGTATGGTCTGCGTTGCAAGCGTGAGCTGTGGCGCGTGCAGTATGTTCTCTCGCGTATTCGTAAGAACGCTCGTGAGCTGCTCACGCTCGACGAGAAGAGCACTCGCCGCATCTTTGAGGGCGAGGCTCTTCTACGCCGCATGCACCGCTACGGTCTGCTGGAGGAGAGCCAGAACAAGCTCGATTACGTGCTCGCCCTGACTGTCGAGAACTTCCTGGAGCGTCGCCTTCAGACCCTCGTCTTCAAGACCGGCCTCGCCAAGTCCATCCATCACGCTCGTGTCCTCATCCGCCAGCGCCACATCCGGTACGCATTTGCCTCTTGGGCCAGGTCGAGCGTGTTTCTTTGCAGCATTCTTTATCATAAGTCGAAAGTCGTGCTTATCTGTGAGACTGTTTTCGCTAGATCCTTGTCCTCGGATTCTTTAGGGCGGTTCTCATTGTATCGTGTGAGCCTGAATCAGACTGCAAGCTGACAGTTTAGGGAAAAGCGCAGTTTTGCAACTGGTGCGCATTTTCCTGCTCCCAATGCAAGCGCGCCCGCGCTCTCAGAAGTGCATAAGCACGAC